GGCGGATTCACAGGTGTTCACTGAACAGCATTTCCACTTTCCGTACGTCTGAAACTTTTCGTGACAAAATGTGGGAGGACAAATGTACACACGCCTCCCGGTCGCCGTTCCGAGTAGCCCGTGCGGCCAGGTTTCCCGAGCCCTTCTGGAGATGGTCGATGGTGCACAGTCCGGCGTGTACCTAGCTCTTCTCGTCCCACCGTGGGGCAGGCCCTGCTGCCCGTGGGCTGCTGTCCCCACTGCTGCCGGCATGGGACCTCCGGCGTGGACACCTGTGGGGCCCCCGGGACAGGCAGCCCCCACACCCTGTCACAGGATCGGCCCTGGGGGCCCCAGGTGGTGATGGGCTTTGCCACTCGAGGCCACTGAGGCCGAGAAGAGGTGCACTGGGGGTGTCACTGTAGCCCGAGGCACCTGGCCCTGATGGCCCCCAGCCCTCCAGGGTCATGCTCGGCATCAGCCTCCCTCCACACCCCTGCACTCGTGGTGGCTGTTCCGAAACCTGCAGGAAGAGACGGGTGAGCCAAGGCCCAGGACACCCGGCGTGGGCATGGAGACATCCAGGGGGCCTGGCAGGGAGCAGCTCTGGCCTGACCCCGCACTGCCCTGGCAGGGAGGGAGCAGAGGGGCTCATGCAGACCATGTTCTCCTGCTCTTGGGGCTGCGGTGTGCTCCTCAGAGCTGTCCCAGTCCCATCTACAGAATTGGAAACTGAGGCTCAGAGAGGTGGTGATTTGCTCGAGCCCACACAGCGTTCACTCCATCCTTCAGCCTAGTGCCATGCCCTGGGTTCTGCTGTCAATTAGGCGGGGGGAGGAGGGGCTGGCCATCCCTGATGCTCCCCGTCTCCACCTTGGGCCCAGGTTCTCATTCTGGGGAAACAAAGAGTGGGTCTTTGCCACCTGGATTTGGGGTTGAGGGGAAACCCATGTCTGGAGCACCCTCTGCTGGGTGGTCTGTTTCTCATGGGGCCCTGGAGGCTTTAGGAAGGGGCTAGAATATTAGGGGAGGGCAGAAAGGCACTCCCCACCTTCAGGTGTCCAGGTGAGACAAAGCAGGGTGAAAGTTGGCTTTAGACCAGGGGTCTCGAACTGACTGCCCCTGGGGCAGCTTGCTTAGAGATTGCTGCTGGGTTCAGGGCTCACCATGGAGGCCAGTATTCAAAAACAGATATCAGATGCGTTAACTTCAGATCTTTTAAAATCGGAAGATCTGCCCACCCTGCACGCTTCCCTGTGCATAGGAAGAAGGAGCCAAGTGTGATGGGCTACGTACCTTCGTGTTAGCCACAGACCACACCGGTCCCTTTCGCCCTGTGCCCACCTGCCTCATTTCATCACGTGGCCCCGTGGGCACTTGCGCTCTCTTCTTGACCATCCAGAGGGCTTGGTACCTTCAGCCAGCCGGTGGCATTGGAAGTCTGTACACATAACCCTGCGAGGGCCACCGCCTCCTGGGCAGGACAGCTGTGCTTCCCCAGACAGGCCCGGCCCAGTGGACCACCCCCCGTGCGTGTGGGCACGCACGCGCATGCACACACACACACACACACACGCAACTGAGGGGGGAGCCCGGCCCTCTGAGGGGTTGGCTCTGCTTGCCTGGAGCAGGGGGCTGTCCCGGTGGGCCTCTTCCGACTCCTCTGGCTGGAGCACCCCACCCCGCCGAGGTCTTAGGGTCTCTGACGGGCATCACGGAACGCGTGGCCTCCTTCCAAGGAGCCTCCGTTATGGCACAGAGGAGGGACGGACGCGAGGAGCAGAGTTAAGCCTCCTCTAGAATTTGCTTCAATCACTACTGTGGTAGGGAGTGAACTGCTTGTCCCTAGAAGGGTTTAAGCGGGGTCTGTTTCTGTTTACTCGTTTATTTAACAGATATTTGTTGGTGCGTAGGATGTGCCAGGCCTTGTTGCAGGTGTGAGGACTCCCGTGGTGACCTCCCTGGGCGGCCGGCCGTGCCCCGGAGCTGACCGTCGGTGGGGACGGACAGCTGGTGCACCTGTGATGGATGCTAAATCCGTGAACCACAAGGTGCTAGTTGGGACGAGTAGTGGGAAGGAGCGAGCCAGGCTGAGTGCTGGGGAAGAACGGCAGGGAGGTGCTGGTGCCAAGGCCCTGGGGCAGAGATGGCTCCGCGCGCTCCAGGATGGGGTAGGAGGTGGACGGGCAACGGGACGGATGAAGCCAAAAGTGCGAGGCCTCTGGGCCGTGGCGGGGAGGAGATTGGGCTCGTTCTCATCTCTCGAGTTCAGGGACCAGCTTATTACAGTCGGAGCCCTTATGATTCTGTGGTCCCTGTTGGGGGGTGACGTCTCTAGCTTGTTCAAAGCTCTGAGTGATTCTCTTCAAGTCAGCCATTCAGTAGCTCACTTACTCATCAGCAAACATCTCCAGAGCCAGCTGTGCTGGGGCTGGGGAAAGACCTGGCCCCCCACCTCCAGAAGAGGCAGTGTGATGGGGGTGGGGAGGAGAGGCCAGCAGAGGGTGTAAAGCACAGCTGGAGGTCAGGGAGGGCTTCCTGGAGGAGGCGTCAGCTGAGGGCCCAGCCACGGGGCTGCAGTGCTGCGCTGGAACACAGTTCCAGCCACCCGCACTGAGTGCCGAGGGCAGGGGCAGTAGCGGAAGCGGTCATCACAAGGTGTGCCACCCTGCGGCAGGACCCTCTGAGCTCACAGCTCCCTGCCCCCCCCCCACAGAAGGGAAGACTGAGGCCCAGGAATGAATGCGTGGGTCCGGCGCCCCTGTGGTCTGAATTGCCCCTCGGCAGCTTGTAACCTGGAGCAGGCGAAGGGCTGATTCGAAGCTGACTCAGCTCAGGGCCAGCAGTCGAGGGATGGGTATGCGTGTGCTCGTGCATGCGTGCACGTGGGGTCCGTCAGGCCTGGAATTTTTGGCTCCACCCCTCATTTGCTGAGCAAGCCTCCTCAAGTTACTTAACCTCTCTGAGCCTGTTTCACATCTGCAGGATGAGTGTTGCTCTCCCTACCTGGCCGAGTTCTTGGGAGACGGTGCGGGCCTGGCCCTTGTGTAGGGCCCAGCAACACTCAGAGGCAGTGTGTCCGGCTCTGAGCCGCAGGCCATCCCCAGGCTTGGTGACCCATCCCCACCCCCGGGAAAAGAAAGGCTGGCATCGAATTTTGTTTTTTTGCCCTCCCACCTTGCATGGCTACTGGGGAGACAGCACTTCATGACAGGGGCCTTTGGTCTGTAGGGAAACTGAGGCCCACAGAGGGTGAGCCGCCAGCTCAGGTCACAGAGCATCAGGAGCCTGGCACCTCGAGCAGGGACGCCCCTATCGCTGGGCTCAGAGTCCCAAGAACAGAAGCAGCCTGGCCAGATCACAGATGCGGGTCGGGGCGCCCCCTGCCCCACACGGCGTGGGCGACCCCCTTCCCAATACCCCAGGCCTTCCCAGGGTACAGGTCGGCCTGCCGGCCCCCAGCCTCCCGTCGTCTCGTCTGTCCTGGACGCAAAAGGCCAGGCCTCCCACAGGCAGGGGCAGGGCGGGAAGGGGCTCCTGGGCCAGCTGGGCTGTGGACGCCGGCAGGGAAGTGCGCGGAGACAGGACGGAAGCGACTGCTGGAGTCTGGGGCCACCATTGTCTCACCTGGGGTGGGGGTGCTGAGATGGCCCCATGCTGAAGCTGACTCCTGCACCCTAGCCTCAGTTTCCCTGTCTGTAAAACCTCAGCCAGACGCGTGTGTGTCCGGCATTGCTCAGCAGGTGACACGTGCAGCCGGCCATCCAGTGCTTTGCCCAGATCCACTCACGGCCTGAGGGCTCCACTTGTCCCCAGGGGCTCCGGAACTGGCCCAAGGTCATACCTCAGGGCAGCAGGGCTGGAACCCAGACCCGGGCTGCAGGCTCCAGAGCCCAGGGCCTTACCTGCTCAGCCCTCCTGTCTGCTACACCCACCTGCCTCTTCCTTAAGGAATCCCTTGTCAGGCTAAATCCTGGGGAGCCTCATCCTGAGCAGCGACATCCCCACTTTCATCAAGATCGATGGATAAACAGACGATAGATGGATAGAAGGGTAGACAGAAGGCTGACTGACTGGTAGATACAACAGCTGGGGTTGAATCCAGCGCTGGGAGGCTGCGAGCTGCACTCCCCGTCCCCAGACGAGATTTTCAGGGCTCCCTCCCTTCCTCTGCACCCACCCTGCCCCCACTCCACACACACACACACACACACACGCACACACACGCACGCACGCACACACACACACACACACACACACACCCCAGCAGGACTGGGAGCACGTCTCACTTCCAGGTGGGACAAGGAGAAACAGGAAAGACTCCGTCCTTCCGCCCAGCAGGAAGCAGGGCCAGGAGGCTTCGGGACCTCCCAGCAGACTGGGACTGGGCAGGATGTTCTCCCAAGGGCTGAGCCAGAGGGGGTGTGCCCAGGGGTCTTGCAAGGGCAGCTGGCCAGGAGCCCCCCATCATCCGATGTCATCTGACACCACTCCCCTTCCAGGGAACGAGGGGAAGAGGTGAGGGGTCAGACCATCCCCAGGGCACATAGGTCTCTGGAGACACCCCACCCCCATCTCTGGTGGGGGAGTCTAGGGCTGCATCCATCACCCCAACCTCACCCCCTCCGGTCCCGCACTAGCAGCCGAGCCCCTGCAGCCTGCTCAAACTTTATTGAAGGTAGATCTAGAATAGGAGGGGCCAGAACCACAGACCACTCCCCTCAGCTCCCTCTGCGTGGGCTCCACTGAACAAGGGATGGTTGATGGCCGAGGCTCCCTCCGGGGACTTCGGGTACAGCTCAGTGGCCCCCGTCCCTGCAAGCATCCAAGACACCCGCCTCAGCCCCAGCCCAGAACCAAGCCTGGCCATGGGGTTGGGATGTGGACAGTGGGCCCTGCTCCCTCGGGCTTGCAGAGGACGAAGCAGGGCCCCCCTCCCGGGCTGCTGGGGCCTGAGGGGTCCCCCGGTGCGGTAGGGGCGCAGAGCTGGAGAGCGGTGGGGCGGGGGGGGGGCAGGTACGTTACCACCAGCTCAGGTCCCTCCTGGCCAGCTCCACCTGGGCCAGGCGGTGGTCACTCAGCACCTGCACCCGGGTGATGGCCGCCAGTGGCCTGTGACGGTGTGCGAACTGCAGCACCTTGTGCTCCTGGGCGTGGACATGGAAGTGCTCCTCATCTGAGCTGACCTCCATCTGGGGACGGGAGGCCGGTGACCCACGGCCTGCCATGGAGCCCGGGTCCCCTCACCACACGGAATGCCCCGTCATGCAGGCCCGCCCCAGATGGGAGCCCCGAGCCCCAGCCGGACGGACGTCCCCTTCCTCACTGAGGGGTGCACCCGCCTGCACCCAGCAGTGAGACTCCCCGCGGTCTTTACCTGTAAACCTCCACAGTACGCAGGGGACGCAGCGTCCTCCCCACAAAGCAGCGGTAGCTAGCCTCACAGCCCGATAGCCTCACAGGTACCCCAGTCCTGGCCTCCCCCCGCCCCCCACGGGCCTCCCCTCCGCTGCCCCCTTCACCTCAAAGGGCTCCCCCAGCACCAGCCGGAAGGCGCTGGACACTTCCTCCTGGCCCCAGCGGCCCCCCTGGAAAGTGTTGCCCACCACGGTGGCACTGGAGAACCGGGGCTTGATGTGGAAGGCAATGTCCCCCGCCTCGGACAGGAAGTTGATCTCAAACCTGGGGGGTGTCATGGGGGCTGTGAGACAGCAGATGCCTGGGGAGTCACCCTGCCCAAGGCTGAGAGGGGACCCCTGGGGAGGGTGGTGACCCTTACTTGTCCTCTCCAGAGTCAGAGTGTCCCTGGACCAGCAGGCTCCAGCCAGGGGCCAGGCCCCCTGCACAGAAGGCTTCGAACTGCATGCAAAAGGGGGCAGAGTGTACCCCATTTGTCCAGGGGGCCCCAGCCAGTCTCACGCCCAGCTCGGGCTCTTCCCCAGGACCCTGGCCCTCTGAGCAGCGTTCCCTTCACGTCAGGGCAGTAGGGGTCCCCCACCCCATGCCCTCTCGTCCTGCAGGCCTGGGGAAGGAGCACCGGAGATGCGGGGAGCCCCCGCCTGGGCCTGCTTCCTTCTCACCCACCTGCAACGCCATCTCGCCAGCTTCTGTGGGTGCGGAGCATGAGCCGGGGCATATAGGCAGGTGGGCAGGCCGGGCCGGGTGCGGAGCCCCACCCCAGGGACAGCCAGCAGGCTGCTCCACCCCTCCCTTCCCCCCACCCCGCTTCTCCCCCTGACGATCAGCAGGTATGCCATTCAAGCACCAGAGACAGGATGGCCGGCCCTGGGCCCCTCCCACCCCCACTTCACTTTTTAGGGTCCTAGGAAAGCACTTCTGCCTCCCACCCCAAGCTTGCTTCCTCTGGGCATCCAGGGACCCAAACCCTTATCACTGCTCAAGTAGGGGAGGGGGGACAGCAGGCCCACCGACACTGCCTGGGCCTTCTGGGGGCCGAGCCTGTGTCCCCCCCAGCCCAGCCCAGCCCAGCCTCCCCAGCTGCCCTGCTCCAGCCAGCTCAGCTGGCCCCACGGGGCACTGTGCTGGGATTAGGCTGGGGCTGTGGTCAGCGCATTCCTGGGCTCTGGCTGATGGAGTGGGGGAGGGCCTTTCCCACACCCCAACGCCCCCCCTGGCCTGGTGCCTCAGCCCCTCTCAGCTGAGCTGGGGAGGAGGCCAGGCTGGGGCCCCCACCGAGTGTGTAGGGGAGAAGGACAGGGTCTCCCCAGGCTTTCAGGGCAGCTGTGGGGCCGCCTGGCTGGACTGTCCAGGGAGCTGGCCCAAAGGGGAGCCAGGCTGGGCCCGTGGAGCGCTGGGGCTGCTGCGTGCGGTGAGTGTGTGGGGAGCGTGGGCATGTGGTGAGCGCCGGATCCCGTGGCTGCACGAGCAAGTGTCTGTGCACACGTGGGCCTGTGCGTGTGAGTGGTGTCGTGTGCGAGTGCACGTGTGTGTGCCTCCGGCCCCCCCTGCTGTTTCCCTGCCCAGTGCATCTCAGGCCCAGGCCCCGGGGGTAGCCCAGCTGCCTGCAACCCCATCATTCCCCTCGGCCTCCCCCGTGTGCGGGCCAGTCTTGGGGAGGGGGGCATGCTAAGGCCGGGAAGGGACACGGAGATGGCCGGACGGCTCATTGGCAGTGCGGGCACTGTGCAGCGCTACAGTCCTCCCGGGTGGCACGGGCAGGGCTGGTGGGGCCTGCAGGGGGCAGCGCTGAGCAGCGGAGGTGCTGCCCAAGGAGCCTTCCTCGGTGGTGTCCTGGCTCCCACAACTGGCCTACCTTGCAGAGCCCTGTCCCAACCCAGCCTGGCCGTCCTGGGGTTCACAGGCTGAGGACCCCTCGTACCTGCCTCCCACAAGGACCACAGAGAAGGGAGGCCCTGCCACTTGTCCAGCAGGAGGTGAAGCCTGGCCGTGACTCCCCACCTCCCTGTCCGGTCCCCTGTCCTTGGGGTGCAGGGACTGGGCAGTCAGGGGTCCAGAGAAGGCTTGAGCTAGTAGCCTCTGAGCCTCAGTCTTCCCAGCTGTGCACTGGGCTCAGCAGTCCTGCTGTGCAGTGCTGACCTCTACCCCCTGGGCCTGTCCCCTCGGCGGAGGAGGGTGGCCCAGGCACAGGAAGCTGGGCCACTGTCACCGTACTTTGGGGCCAGCAGGGGCACTGGTGGAGGGACCTTGGGAGTCAGCTGCCTAGAGCCCTCGCTAGGCATCAGGGGCCTGCGAGTGGGGCTTGTCCCTCAGACTCCCTGGACAGAAGGCCCGAGTACTCTGCCTGGACCAGGGCGCTGGTCTGGGGTGAGGAGGCCTGAGGGACCCCTGATTCGGGCAGGCCCGCCCCTCTCTGAGTCTCAGCCTCCCCACCTGGGCGATGGGGGTTTGCAGGTAGCCGAGGGGGCCCCGAGGGGGCAGGGGGTGTGAGCCTGGTCCGTCTGAGGCCAGCCTGGAGGCCTCCAAGAGTCCCACCTGCATGAAGCAGGCTCTGGGCCTCCACACACACCGCGGTGCTTGCACCTGGCCTGAGCGGACACCTGGCCAGGCTGTGGTCTTGCCTGGCCCAGGCTTTGGAACCTCTCCCACGAGGGGCGAGGGGCGGGAGCCAAAAGCAGCCCAAGCTCTCCGCGGCAGGGACCTGAAAGGCCCGAATGGGGCCGGGGAACTAAGAGAGGGACAGCGAGGCTCCATGTGGCTGGCCCAGCCCTGCAGGCACCCCCCAATGTCATAGAGTCCAGGTGGGACCTCAGCCAGGCGCCAGGGGTCGGGGCAGCCATGGGCAATGCCCCCCCCTCCCCGGCCGAGTTGCTGGCCCTGGGAGCAAACCTGCCCATCCAGGCACCGCCCCGCCCCCCTCCTGGATGTGTGGTTTTGTCCCGGGCAGTTGACTGTCACAGGCTGAGAGGGGGCAGTGGGGTCTCCACCCATTTAGGCTGAGGATCTTCACCAGCACTCAGCCCCTCCTCCAGTGGGATGGGGCGTTATCAGGGTTGGCTTCCTGGAGGAAGTAGTACCTCAAGCAGGTCTTGAAGAATAAGGACTTAGAAGGGTGCTGGAGGGCAAGGTAACAGGCCCAGCCCTGGGGGGATGGACTCGGGAAGGATCTGACACACCTTCAGGACAGTTTTCGAGGATCCATGGCCTCATCTCTTGGGAGGGCACCCACCTTCCATGGGCATCCTGGGGCCAGGCATACGTGCCCCGGCTGGCTCAGACTGGAGGAAGCCCCCAGAGCCCCCGGAGCCCCCGGGGAGGGTGGCGGTGCGAGAACACGGATGCCCGTCCAGTGTTCTTCTCAGCCCCCCATCTGCTCTTATCCCGCCGCTCCCCCCCCAGCATGAGCACCCAGCCCGGCCCAGCCGTGGGCGATCCCAGGTCGTTGGGGGTCTCGAGCCAGCCCTCCCACAACCCCCACGCCATCCCCGGCCCACATCTGGAGCCGCTCGCTGATGGCGAGGTCAGCACAGAAAGTCTCAGACCCCACCTGGCAAGGGGCAGCTCTGGAACCGGACACATGGCCTCAGGCCGGCTCTCCCCCGGCTGGGCGCTTGGCGGCCTTTGGCACGTAGTGGCTGTGTCTTTTCCTCCCCCTGGGGCTGTGGCATGAGTGTGCATTCTGGGTAAGCAGGGAGACGGAGCCCAGCATGCAGAGTGAGGGCAGTCAGGAGGCACCGTGCCACCATGGCCCAGATGGGGAAACCGAGGCCTCGGAGCCCCAGGGTGCCCCCTCGTAGGGCCTGCTAAAGGCTGGGAGGGGCTGATCCGGGGCTACCCAGGACCCAGGGCTCCGGGGCAAGGATAGCAGGGTCCCCCACTCCCTGGTGCCCCCTCGCCTGTCCCTCTGGAATCCCCTACCAGCTATATGCCCAGCCATCACCTGCCCCGAGTCCCACTCTGTCTCTCATAAAGCCCTCCTGGCTCTCTCCCTCCTCTGAATCATTCTCTCAGGGCAGAGGTCACTGTTCCCCGGGCCATTCACGGAGGCCCTGCTGTGTGCCAGGAGCTGCCCGGTACCCTCCAGGGTCAGGAGGAAGGAGGCAGGTCTGAGCCCGGCCCCTGGGGGCCCTTCTCTCGCTCGGTGTGGACGGAGGCGCCCCGGCCCAGGGCAGGGCGCCGTGGGGCCGGTCGGGGAGCTCGGTCATCATGGCTCTGGTGGCTGTTACTTCTATGGTGTGCTCGGTGCCCTGCCTGCCACGTGTGCCCCTCGCTGGTGGAGGGAAGCAACCCGCTGCTCACTCACTTGCTCGGCCCACGTTTGTTGTGCATCTGTGATGTGGCAGGTCCTGAGCAGGTTCACAGACAGACAGACAGACAGACACGGTCTGTGCTCTCGCGGAGCTCCCAGTGTCTGAGGGAGGGCGGCAGGCATTAAATGACAAATCCAGCCTCACGTTATCCAGTTATCAGGTTCTGAAGGGAAATCTGGGGAGTGACAGTTGTGGCCAGGGGGGCATGGCCTGATACCAGCAGGTCAGGGAGACCTCCTGGAGGAGGTGACTTGGAGCTGAGCCCAGAAGAGGAGGGGCTCGCCAGGAGGGGGTGGGGGAAAGAGTGTGGCCAGCAAAGGAAACGGCATGTGCAAAGGCCCTGGGGAGGGCAGAGCAGAGCTGTGGGAGTGTGAAGGGCTGGGATGGGGCTGGGAAGGCACGTCGCCCCCCTGCCTTTGCTGCCTGGCTGGGGTCCAGCCCTTCCAGCCTCCCCTGCCAGGCGCCACCTTCCCCTCCCCTAATTTGGCCCAGCATTGTTCCTGGCCAAGCCGCCCACCCAGTGCCTGGCCATTGTCCGGGTGTCCTGCTTCCCGCCCTTGAGTCTCTTATCATGCAGAGAATCTGCTTGCTTGGGGGCATTTGGGGGCTGATGAGGCTTTACTGGAGCCAGCTCTAGGCCAGGGCTGCCAGTTCTGACCCCACCCCTCTTGCTGGCATGGGCTGGCCAGCAGCGGCCGAAGGACACTCAGCAGAATGGCCTGGCCTCCCTCCTGCTGGGACCCACAGGACTGCCCCTCCTGATCCACACCTTTCCCTCCATGCCCTACAAATCAAAGCACACCCACCTGCTTTTGACGGGCCCCTTTCTGGGCCTCAGTGTCTTCATCTGGAGTCATGGGATCGTGGGCATGGTCCAGATGCTTGGCCAGGGGACAGAAGCAAGGCTGCCCTTGGCCCAAAGGGGGGGGACATGAAGGTGGGGCTCTGGGCAGTCCGGGCCACTGGAGACGCCACGCTGTGCAGGCGAGGCTGGGGTTTCTCCCTCCCCGATGGGCCTGAGCCTCGGGCGACAAATGGAGGCTGCCGCCCAGACAGAGGCTCTCCTGGAGGGCAGGACCCATGTCTACCAAGAGCCCCCAGCCCAGACCAGGCCTTAGCCCCCGAGTTCTCACGCCC